TGTCCAAATAATTGCAAGATTCTAATAATGTACCTTTAACAAGTAAAATTAATTTGTCAACCTTAATATAGCTTAATTAGTTAATGAGGTTTGAATCCCCAAACAAAAGATCAAATTTAATTCCATTTCGAAAAAGAAATTGTTTTTATATGCTTGATAATATAGTTTTTTTTTATTGGATAAAAAATGTTTACAGAAAAACGCACTTGCATTTTAAGATAACGAAGAGCCATATGTTATGGGTTATATCAGACAAGTCGTGCTCTATACATAAATGGAAAAAAAAAAGGAAAAAAAAACCACTTGAGACTCTATACATAAATAAAAAATAAAAATAAAAATAAAAGAAAAAAACCACTTGACTGATGTGCGATCCACATAGTTTAAAAATATATAATATATAATTTTTTTATTAATATTTTAAAATTATAAAATATTTACTCAACTTTGCAAGTCAATTTTAACTAATTTAAGCTTTCAAGAGTGGCAAACTTGAATGAGAGATGAAATTGAATTACACCGAAACCAAATAGTAAATAACAAACAATTCAATTAAAAAAAAAACTCTAAATCAAACCATGAAAATACCTAAACTCAATTATTTAGTGAGTTGTTTTGGTAATTCAAATATAAGGTTGATAAAATAAAAAATAATTTAAAGTTGAAAACAACTCACTAAATATTAAAAATATTTGTAAGAAGAATCGTCGAGTTATCTAAAATGTATGGAAAAAAATAAGTTATTTTATAAAACTATTTAAAAAGACATTCTGGAAGACACTATTTATTGACTTTGGTTAATGTAAGAATATTTTTAGCAGCAACAACTAAGTCATCAAAAAGTCAGTGGAAAAAAAAATTATATTATATATATTTATTTGTTTACTAGGGAGAATCTATATTTAGATTATAAAGTAAATCAGAGAAGTGAATAACAAGAATGACGAAGAAAAGAATCAACCAAAAAAACAAAAAAACAAAAAACAAAAAATTCTCAAACCCCATAAATTAGGCTATGAAAATACAATTTTTTTATTTTATCATTTATTTCATTTTATTCCCTCGTGATTCTTTTCCTGCTACAAGGATCGTTGATGTGAATTTTAACATAACTTAACTGTTTAAGGTAAAAAGTTCGGATCTCCACCCCATATACTGAACTAAAAAAAACCATTAATTTTTCATAAATCATTTAACAAAAATCTGATTTGTTCATTTACTTTATAAGTAGATTTATATTTGAATTAAAACAGTAGATAGGTTTCTTTCATTTAATTTTTGTCAAAATTGATGTTGGACCGACCTATCAACTTAAGAAATATAAAAAATAAATGTTGAAATTAGTTTAAAAATTCAAAACAGTCCAAGTTTACAAAATCCACCATCAAACTAATCAAAACTATACTTTAAAATACACAATTGACCAACAATAATACCAACGACTGACATTAATTCAGTCGATTAAATTAGCTTTTCAAATCTTTTTCAATTTCATGTATTTGAAGCGATACATAGATTAGATTGTAGTTTCAGAATAATTATACAATTGTACTGAACTATTTTAAAAAATCAGTAATAATGGCTTAAAAGAAACCTAAATATATATATATATATATATATATATGTATATGTATAAGGGAGAGGGTTAAAAGTGGTGATTTCCACGTCATAAGTGG